CGCTACCTGTTGCCCTATACAATAGAGGTTACTACGGCACGAGCAACAACAAAGTTTTTTATAATAATAATACACAGAAAATGATGACGTGCGATGCTTTTTGAAAAACAGACAGAAACTCTGCCCGTAGTCAATTTCGACGAACATGTTGCCACAAATGTGCAACACAGTAAACACGGGAAGTTATTACCAAACAGTGTACGTTGTCTGGTTTGTGGTCCGTTAAATTTTGGTAAAACCAATTAAATGTTCATGCTGTTGACCGACTTGAACGGATTGAAATTCGAAAACGTTTACATCTACTCGAAATTGTTGGAGCAGTCGAAATATCAACTGTTGATTCGAATATGGGAAGATGTTGAAGGCATACGTGTGTTAACATTTGCGAACGGAGATGAAATTCCACCAGTAGACACTGTTTTGCCAAATTCAGTGTTTATCTTTGACGACGTGGTTATGGAAAAACAAAACGTAATGTGCGATTATTTTGCGCGTGGCTGACATAAAAGAGTTAATGTGTTTTTTCTCTCACAAACGTTGTCCCGTATACAAAAACAAATGTTACGAGACAATGCAAATGTGGTGGTGTTGTTCCGATAAGACGAAATTAACCTACGTCATACTTACGACGAGTACGTGTGTTGTAATATGATATTTAACGAGTTCAAAGAGTTTTGCAATCAGTGTTGGAAAAACGATAAATACGGGTTCGCAGTGATATGTACGGATTTTGATCGTGATAGTGGTCGACACAGTTTTGACACGTAAATTACAATATGAACACCGCCGATAAGGAATCTTCGAAGAAACTGTTGGACAAAGCCCGGGACAACGTCAGACGACAATATGTAGAATCGCATCGTGGTGAGTCAGAGTCGTTGACTCACATTTAGAAAAAACTATCAACAATAATCGAACCATTGAATAGGATATCCAATTTTGTTAATGTGCAGCAGCAGCAGCATAAGCAACAATTGCAAGAAAATAGCTATTCAAAGTTATGTTTTGCACATCTTAACCATACGGTCCTAGAATGCATATGGACGGTAAGTGTGGACGGTTTTTCAAAGTACGCATGTGCCATACAGTTAAAAAGTAAAACGGCCCTGAACGTGACTACAGCAATGTCAGGTATTCTCGAACAGGGTAGTCATCCAAAGCTGATGCAAACCGACCGTGGTACCGAGTTCTACAACTGACATTTCCAAGCGTTGATGGACCGTTACGGGATCCGTCATTATTCAAAATTTTCCACGATGAAAGCGTGTTTTGTGGAACGCTACAATCGCACACTGAAGACGGTCATGTGACGCGATTTCATTACGCGTGTGTCGTACAAATGGGTAGTCAGGTTGCCTGCACTGGTCTATGATTACAATAACAATCACGTGCACAGAACAATCGGCATGACACCTGCACAAGCTGTTCGGAATCCCAGTGCAGTGCAAATGAAGTTGCGAAAAATACCCGATAATTTACCAATCAAGTTTCGAGTGGGCGACAAAGTGAGAATAAGCAAAACGAAATCCGTGTTTGACAAGGGCTAAATGCCGACTGGAGCACCGAGTTGTTTACAGTAACCAAGGTCAAATGAACAGTACCGCCAACATACTATCTGGAAGATTACCAGGGGAACCTCATTCAGGGTGTATTTTACACCGAAGAGTTGAGCAGGACGCAGTATCCGGACTCGTATTTAGTGGAACGGGTGTTACGCATACGCGGAGACCAGTGCTACGTTAAATGGTTGGGTTTTGGCCCGGAACACAACTCATGGATACCGAAAACAGATTTCTTACGGTAATGATTGTCAACATTCAGGGCCTGGTGGCTGCCGACCATTCGTTCTTGGTAAAAGAAATGACCGTCATAGAACTGGAGTCCATGTCTATGGCCCACTGGGTGTTCAAACACCCAAACATCATCAAGGACGATGTGAAAACAACTTACTGGCTAAAAAAGTACCATCACGGCTTGGACACGAACATTGGCGATGTCGAATACACTAAACTACCGAGAATATTGTCGTTGTTATGGTGTGATAATATCTACGTGAAAGGTATGCAGAAAAAACAAGTGTTACAAAAATATTTACCCGGATAGAGGGTAGTCGAAATAGAAGAAAACTGTCTACCACTGCGAAAATTCTAACCACGTTGTATTCGTCACTTAAATAATCATAAAATGTGTAGCTTATATAAAGCAATGTATTTGAAACAATGGTTAAAGGGATAATTTGTAATTGTTATAAACATAGGTTAAAAATTATAAAAAGTGTATCGATTTATTTTATTAAATAAAACTAATGTACACTTTGAGTTAATATGTATCATTGTCGTCATCGCCTAGAGAATAATGCCCCCACGATTTTGTATACACATCCTTGTACTCTCCTGCGATTAACCGATTAACGTCGGTTTATCGTAGTTGTTGACCAACGCGAGTATATTAATTTCAATTGTCGAAACACTAAGGTGTTTCGTGTGTATTACTGACATTTTCCTGCGGGTTTGCTTGAGTTTACGACGCAAGCAATTCAAATAGTCAATCATTTTGATTTCATGTTTCACCACATCCGTGCTCATGCACGGATTTCAATCGCTTCACCTCGTCCGTTTGTCACGTAACCAACAACCTGTCATAGTAATTTTATATGGCGATTGAATAAGCGTACACGTTGAGTAACAATGCGATAATTTCTTGCATATGCTTACCCTTGCATTCATCTAATATTATAAAGTTAAAAATATAAAAACAATTTTTTTTACAAAAATCGTATTTTCTTTATAAACTTTGATATCTGTTTTCACCGTGAAGATAAAATAAGGTCAGAAATTTTTTTGCATAATAAAGAACATTACATTAGCGGAGCGCGTGACAATTAACGTGTGGACTGTACGACGTCTAAACACGAACTGACAACATATTTACAAAATAAGAATCTACTTGAGAAGTGCAATTTATTGGGAGCGATAAATGATTCCAGTGAATTGATGGTAGATTAAAATCACCTACTATTATAAATTTTGCAGATGGGTTGGCTGAGTATAGATTACTTAAAGCGGAGAAAACATTTTCGTACGTTATTAATGGGGAACAAGGGGGTATATAAACGCAGCCAATAATGAAAATTGTATCAGCCATTTGTAAATGCACAAAAACTGCTTCAATGCAATTAATAGAAGTATTTAAAATTTTACATTTAATTGTATTTTTTACTGCAATCAAGACGCCTCCACCATGAGAACGATCACTATTTAGAGGCGATCTATCACAACGGAAAATTATGTAATTAACAAAGTGTAATTCAGTGTTACATATATCAGTTGAAGTTTGAGGTAAGATGTGCTTCACTGATAAGGATAATATCAACGTGAGAGAGCTGTAGGAAGGCTTTAAGTTCATTTTTTTGTTGGTTTAGACCATTGGCATTCCATAAGAGGATGGATATTGATTGTTGGATATTTAAGCTAGTTGGCATTTGATTGGGATAGGAGTTTAGTGATAACAGTGGTTAGTAAAGAGATTAAGGGATTAATCAATGATTTAAAGTCTTCCAGGAAAGACATTAGTTTGAGTGAAATTTGATCAGAGTTATCACCAATAGGTGTATGGGGAGTGATATTCGGATCTTTGGTTGCTTGAGCATATGATTTGGATTGAGAATACGAATTTGAAGTGGTGTTTACATAAATGGGCTGTACATTATTTGTATTATTTTGTTGAGAATGTGAAATTGTTTGAGTTTTCTTGGGATTACGAGATGATTGAATTTCTTTATGTTTGGGACAGCCTCGATAGTTTGCTGGGTGGTTACCCTGACAAAGCGCACACTTGGCGGGTTGGTCGGTGGGTTTTTGGCAGGAATCTGATAGGTGATGTTCGCCACATCGAACGCATTTGGGTGTATGATTGCAGTAAGCTTTTGTGTGGCCGTATTCTTGGCATCGAAGGCATTGGACTATGTGGCGTTTAACTCGAGGTTCTTCTATTTTAATTTTAGTGTAGCATAGGAATTCGATTTTGAAGATATCTTTATTGTTTATGGCTGGTTCTAGATCTACGAAGAATAATGGGAGCGGGACCTTAGTGTTATATTGTAGAACGTTTGTTACGTTTCTAGCGATGTGACCGAGATCAAGTAACTCTTTTTTGATATCATCAAGAGGGATTGTGTGATGTAGGTTTCTGATAACAATTCTAAAGGCTCGATCTTGTTTTGATTGATAAGTATGATAGTCCGCTTTGCTGGATTTTAGAAATTTTATTACTTCTCTGTACGAGTTTGGTGATGTAGTTAGGAGTTTAACTCCATTGGTGGAGCTCTTACAAGTGAATGGTTCGCCTTTTGTTAATAATTTAATTTGAGAGCAAAATGATTTGAAGTCATTTACTAAATTAATAAAGATTGGTGGAGGAGGTTTACTCTCTGAGTGTTCTAGAATGTCTCTATTAGGGTCGTTATCTTTGTTTTCAGAATAGTCATTGTTTTGATCATTGTTTGGTGGACTGAATAGAGAAAAGCGATTTGGCGTTACGAATTGTTTAGTTAATTTCGGGGATTGATTAGGTGAGTACTGACGTTTATGATTATTTTGAGTTTTCCAATCGTCGTTGGAGTTGGTTTCTGATGAAAAAGCTGATGAATCATTTGACACGCTCTGTATGCGTGACTTTTGGATAATGAGTGGAGGTACAGTTTTATTATTTGTATTATTAGGCATTTTATAGGTAACGGCACTCATTAGGACCGTAGTGAGGTATCGCGTGTTGGTCAATAAAGCGTATAATGCGATAAGGCGTTAGTCCCGATCGCGGCGAGTCTTATATTTAGGTAAATTATACAATTATACATTACCCGACGGTACAAATACCGCGACGAGCGCTGGAAGCGATAACAATTCGATACAATACACACGCTATCGAGAGCTGATAAAAGCGGAGCGCGTGACAATTAACGTGTGGACTGTACGACGTCTAAACACGAACTGACAACATATTTACAAAATAAGAATCTACTTGAGAAGTGCAATTTATTGGGAGCGATAAATGATTCCAGTGAATTGATGGTAGATTAAAATCACCTAATATTATAAATTTTGCAGATGGGTAGGCTGAGTATAGATTACTTAAAGCGGAGAAAACATTTTCGTACGTTATTAATGGGGAACAAGGGGGTATATAAACGCAGCCAATAATGAAAATTGTATCAGCCATTTGTAAATGCACGAAAACTGCTTCAATGCAATTAATAGAAGTATTTAAAATTTTACATTTAATTGTATTTTTTACTGCAATCAAGACGCCTCCACCATGAGAACGATCACTATTTAGAGGCGATCTATCACAACGGAAAATTATGTAATTAACAAAGTGTAATTCAGTGTTACATATATCAGGTGAAAGCCATGTTTCAGTAAAAGCAATAAGATCAAATAGAGAGGTATTGAGTGAGGGGATTAAATAGTTAATTTTAGAAACTATGCTCCTAATATTTTGATAGTAGAGTAGTAGGCTTGAATTAGTGACTAGTTTTTTTGAACCGCAGAGGAGATAATGGTCGGTTGACCCTTGTAGTATTTAATTGTCAGATTTGGCTCGCCTTTTGATATTCGCTCTCTCAACTGGTTGCGTAGATCGCGAAGGAGTTCTCGCTGATACGGTGATTTATCACTCGTAATTCTAATATCTTTAAGATTTTGATCGGATTTCAGGATGCGTGATAGACCGAGAATTTTAAATACCTCTGTGGCCGCTTGCAGTTCAACTTTCAATGGACGAGGCTTATTGTTAGGTTTACCTAAGCGGCTAATTTTTATGGGTTTTATATCAGTTCCGAGTTTATTGAAAATGTGTGTTATTGAATCAGTATCTGAGGTATTGTTCTGGCTAGATTGTTCGTGCACGTTAAAAACGATAATATTATTAGAACGGNCTGAGGTATTGTTCTGGCTAGATTGTTCGTGCACGTTAAAAACGATAATATTTTTAGAACGATTTTGACGGTCAATAAACTCAAAAAACATGTCGTGATTAGCATTAGACTTTGGAACAGCTGATTCCAATAGATCGACACGATTTTTGATAGCAGTCAAATCATTACGCAGCACACTGTTTTCATTTTTAACACTTGATAATTGAGAGAAGATATCTTGGAATTTTTTGTCAAAAGAGTTAAGTTTCTCATTTTGCTCATTGATCAGATCAATAAGTTTGGTTTGCTCCGCGCGTAGGTTATCGAGATGACTGATAATTAATTTTAAGTCAGGTTCATTAGTAGAGAGAGAAGAGAGATGTTTAGTAGAGTTGCCGACGGAAATAGCATTTTTAGATTTTTTTGCACAGTTAACACAAGACCATGATTTGTTCAAACTATTTAAATAGTCGAGATCATCTTGTTTTAACGAAACACAAGTAAGATGGTACAATTTCAAACAAGAGAAACATGTAATTGAGTCGTTTTGACCGCGTTTAATACTTACGGCACAAATATCACATAAACCCATGGTATGAAATTGATATAAAAATAGCGATAAGAGGTAATAATTGTTGAATACGTAAAGGAACACAGAGCATGAATAAATGGAGATAACACACGTGCGTACGCTGTGGCGGTTGACGAGTAACTATGATATCTATGATAGTATAGATGATATCTGACAGTGATTAAAATCACTATCATAAGAAACGCTTCGATGCAAATCTGTAGATAGTGTTTCCTTTAGAGAAATTGGTGAAATATTTTAAAAGCAACATGAACTCTTATTTCTTTAATTATATCCTGATTAGTAGTTCTTTGATTTTAAAATATAATATATGAATAAATACTAATTATAGTTTTTAAATTTAGTATGAAATTGTGAGGCCAGCTATGATGTATGGTTAATAGTGTTGGGCGGTTGATAAGAAAGTAGAGCAGAGAATAAGTGTAGCAGAGATGAGAATGCTTAGTTGGATGAGTGGAGTGACTAGAGAAGATAGGATAAGGAACGAGCATATAAGAGGAAGTATAGGTGTTGCGTCAATCGTGGATAAGATGACAGAAAATAGACTTAGATTGTTTAGTCATGGTATGAGGAAAGAAGAATCGAAAGCTGTAAGAACAGTTATAGAAATGAATGTTGAAGGAAGAAGAGATAGAGGAAGACCAAAAAAGAGATGGAGGGATGCTATTGAATGCGATTTGAGGACAGCTGATGTGAGCGTAGAAGATGTGGGAGATCGTGTCAAGTGGAATCTTAGGATAAGGGTGCCCGACCCCAAGTAGTTGGGATTAAGGCAAAGAAAAAGAAAAATATTACCAGATATTCCGGTGGCAATTGACATAATATGATTGTTATTTCGGAATGTACAATTTAGCGTTTAGTTGGGTTTAAATAATATAGCGTCAAATCAATTACCTACTCTATCGGTTGTATCTCAATATACACTACACTTTAATGATACAATAAATAAATAAACTCACACATACACACATATGCATTTATAACATTGTGTCTAATGTAAGTATAACATGATAAAAAGTAACCGTAAAATGAAAAAAATGGAATATAAATTTTATTACTCATATTAAATGTAATGTAACTCGAAAAATATTTGTTTAAATGAAAAAATATAAGATTATATTTTTATTTATAATTGTCTTTTAAACAACTTTTGTGCGAAACTTTTTTTTGTAAGTTAAATATTTTTTTTTGAGAAAATTAAGAAAGCTCATATTTTTGAACTTTTGCGAGGATTTAAAAAAAAAGCTCAATTCCAATCTTGAGGACTATTAGTATGTCATTATACATATTTTAATTCAACTTTTAAAAAAACAAAATTTTTTCCGCAATTTTTCCTTTGTTGACTGGCCTAGATGTCAATTTTAAACTTGTAATTGAGCTAAAAGTTATGGTAATATATTCAATTTATTTTACTATAAACTTTCATAAATCTTTATCAAAAATTTTTCATCAACTTTAAAGAACCAAAAAAATAGGTTAAAATTGAAAATTTGGACTGATTATTTTTAACATATTAAAAATCAAATCAGTAATAATTTGAAAACAAATTTTTTTTTCTTTTAATTATTATTTTATATATATAATTAGTAATAATATAAAAAATTAGAAGTGATAGAAATAGTCTACTTGCAGATTTGAAAACAACGCGAAAAGTTGATTTAGAAAAGTATATTTTTGCTTCTGATGAAAGTTCCTTGTAGTCCAGTGCATTTTTTTATAGTAACAAACAGTTTTTATTGAAAATTATTGTATCAAGCCCTTTAAATTTTTATACACGTAAAAGTAAAGCAAAATATAACTTCTTTATTATTTTTATAATTTCTCCGTTTAAATTACAATATTAAATATCAATTTCATACTAAATTTAATAATTATAATTAGTATATATTCAAATATTATATTTTAAAATCAAAGAACTACTAATCATGATATAATTAAAGAAATAAGAGTTGATGTTGCTTTTGGAATAATCCACCAATTGCCTAATTAAAACAAAAAAAAAAAAAGTTTGTTGGGAATTTTTTCTGCTATTCTGCAAAATTACTCCTTCGTTGACTAGAATGAATCATTAAATAGAAAATTTTATGAGAATTAAAACAATGTTATTTTTAAGATTAATATGCAGTCAGAAAGTTTTATAATTATTATTTATTGTAAATTTATCAGAAAAACTCATTATTTTTTGCATTTTTATCGTAATAGAACACTTAAATAGAAATCATAGTAATCATTTCTAAGTAATTTTTGATATTTAAAAAGATTCTACTATTGAAATATCCAGAACTGAATTAATTTTAATGATTTACTTTAACTAAAAAAAAAAAAGTTAATATTTTGAATCCCTCTTGTGGGCAGGTAAAGGGTTAGATTTATAAAAAAAACCAAATGATAGATAAAGACATGCATCTAAATAAAAAAAAATATACTGATTTGGTCATTTTTGATAAAGTTATAACAATTAACAAAGTTATAAGTTTTATACACTGGACTACAAGGAACTTCCATCAGAAACAAAAATATACTATTCTAAATCAACTTTTCGCGATGTTTTAAAATGTGCAATTAGACTTTTTCTATAACTTCTAAGTTTTAATATTATTAAAAAATAGTTTTTACATATAAAAAAAAATAATTAAGAACAAAAAAAATTGTTTTAAATTAATACTGATTTGATATAATATTTAATATTAATTTGATTATTAATAAGTTAAAAATAAGGAAAATGACATATTTAACCAATTTTGTTAATCGTTTAAAGTTGATTGTTGTAAATGTTTATAAAAAAAAAAAAAAATTTATTTTACCATAACTTTTAGCTCAATTGGTAAGTTTGACATTGACATAATTAAATAGAAAATTTTATGACAATTAAAAAAATTGTATCGTTAAGATCAATATGCAGTCAGAAAGTTTTATAATTACTATTTATTGTAAATTTATCAGAAAAGCTCAATATTTTTTTGCATTTTTATGGTAATAGATAACTTAAATAGAAGTAATAGTAATAATTTCCTAGGAACTTTTGTTGTTTGTTGAAAAGATTCTATAATTGAAATATTGAGAACTTAATTAATTTTAATGATTTACTTTAACTAAATGTACCAATCAAAACAAAGTTGTTAAAAAGATTTACTCAATTGAGTTTATTATAAAATTTGATTATATTTGTAAAAATCAATTGTTAATTCAGGAGAAAAAACAATCATTTTTTTTAGAAATGATTTATATAGCAACACGTTAGAAAAAAATTTGAATATTATAGTCTAATAGTAGCACACACAAACAGAGTAATAAAATTATTAAATTACAAAGTAAAATGATTTAATTTTGTAGTTGAAACCTATCATATCAAACTTCATTCGTTAATAAATATTTTGAAAACATTAGAAATTAATGATTTTAATTGTCTTTATGGAGACGATGTAATAACTAACTGTTTAATTGATAAATTAGAATTTTTTTTTCAATTTTTGAGAGTAATATCTTCAACTAGATACGAATTGTAGTAATTTGACGTATTGTTGAAAAAAGTAGGTCAAGTTAGAGCAGAGAAAATAAATGATAGTCACAAAAAAATATCTTCTCGGCTTTGCATCGAAGCGAAAACTTAAAATATAGTAAAATAATTTTAATACGAATAAGAAATTTCTTCTTGCAAGGGGCGACTAAAGTGATGGGATCCTTGATCTTTATTGAAGTTATTGAATCTAAATGTGATAAAAATCAAACGAGTTAAAATTTATACTAACTTAAAAAGAATTAAGAAAAAATGCAAAAAATTCATTGCCATATGCGGGTTGGAACCTCGTACCCCAAGCGTGTAAAACATAAATTTTACCAACTCGGCAACCGTACGTTGCTTCCGGCGGTTGAAAAATTGGCTATTTAAGCTAGTTCAAATTTCAAAGTTATTTTTCTCGACTTAAAAGAAACAAACATATTTAAATAAGTTTAACTATCTATACTATATCAATTTTAATTTATATAATATTTATGAAAATCTGTACTCCCCTTGTCAGGTATTTTAAAATAAAATAAAATACAAAACCCAGAATTTTAACACAAAAATAGCATATTTTTGCATACGGTAGTCATTTTTACCATGAAGACAAATCCAGAGGTCAAATTTTTTTTTTTCACATTAAAGTATATTACATAAGCTTTAATTTAAGATATATTTAAAAGTGTCAGTATTTCCGGAATACTTTCAAAAATTAAATTGAAAATATCGTAGTAACAATACGCATGTTTAAAGTTTTGACCCCCCTTGTTAAAGGGGTATGATCCGATTTACAAAAAAAGCGTGCCAGATGAAAGGGGTATATAAATATTTATTATAAAAAAATAATAATATTGATCCATACATTTTTCCAAAAGTTATATAAAATATAAATTAAATAATATAACATATAAAATCGAGATTTTTTTCACGGAAATCGTACGTTTTTCTTTAACTTTGATGTCCGTTTTCACCACGAAGACAAGTCCAGAGGTCAAATTTTTTTTTTTCAAATTAAAGTATATTACATAAGCTTTAATTTAAGATATATATAAAAGTGTCAGTCTTTCCGGAACATTTTCAAAAGTTAAGTTGAAAAAGTTCTACTTTCTATACGCATTTTAAAAGGTTTGCACCCCCCCTGTATAAAGGGAAATGGTCCGATTTTAAAAAAAAGTATGTCGAATGAAAGAAGTATATATAAAGTATTTATCATTAAAGAATAAAGTTGATTCATGCATTTTTTAAAAAGTTATAGCAACATAATGTTAAAAAATGTAAAATATAATATCAAGAATTTTTTCACAAAAATAGCATATTTTTGCATACGGTAGCCATTTTCACCACGAAGACAAGTCCAGAGGTCAAATTTTTTTTTTTCAAATTAAAGTATATTACATAAGCTTTAATTTAAGATATATATAAAAGTGTCAGTCTTTCCGGAACATTTTCAAAAGTTAAGTTGAAAAAGTTAATTTTTTGTAAAAAAGTTACCATTTTGAAACCCCATCCTGTGGGCTGTTAAAGGGTCAAATGTTCACAAAAATATATAAAATGATAGGTAAATATTTAAGGTATCTATAAAAAAAAAAATTATATTGATTCGATCATTTTTAAAAAAGTTATGGCAATTTTAAGTAAAAAAAATTGAAAAAATATCGAAAATTAGCGATTTTTAAATTTGTAATTTTTTGGGGGATTTCCCCCGTTTACGGGGAACGAGGGAATTTTTTTCAATTTTTGAGGGTAATGTCTTCGACTAGATACGATTTGTGATCTTTTGACATATTGTTCATCAAAATCGGTCCAGCGAGAGCTGAGATTGAGCGTTCACAGACACAAAAAAAAAAAAATAAAAATAAAAAAAAAAACACATCATAGTAAAATTAATACCTTCTCAGCTTTGCATCGAAGCTAAAAAACACATCATAGTAAAATTAATACTTTCTCAGCTTCGCATCGAAGCTAATATACCAAATGAAAGGTAATAATATCATGCATCTATATAAAATTATATTGATTTGGTTATTTTTAAAAAAGTTTTTTAAGTAATAAACCTTCTCAGCTTCGCATCAAAGCTAATAATATTAACATGAATAAGAAATTTCTTCTCACGAAGGAAGACTATAGTGATAGGATCCTTTATTGAATCTAAATGAGATAAATATCAAATGATTTGAAAATTTTATTCTAACTCAAATAAAAACAAAATTTTATTGGCCACAGACCGATTTAAACCTCGTACCCTAAGCATGTAAGACACAAGTGTTACCAATTTGGCAACTGTTCGTTGCTTACGCCACATGATAAAATTGGCTATTTAAGCTAACTCAAATTTAAAGNCGCCACATGATAAAATTGGCTATTTAAGCTAACTCAAATTTAAAGATTACTTTTTCAACTTTAAAAAAGTAAAAAAAATTTAATAAGTTTAATTTCTTATGTCTTATGAACTTTATTCTATGTCAATTAAATTATATAATATTCATGAAAGTCAATATATTCTCCTAATAAGATATTTTAAAATAAAATAAAATACAAAACCTAGAATTTTAAGAGAAAAATAGCATATTTTTGAATACGGTAGCCATTTGCACATAGAAGATAGGTCGTCGGGAAAAATTTTTTTTTTTCATTTTATAGTACATAAAATAAGCTTTAATTTTATATATGTTTAAAGGACGCAGTATTTCCGAAACATTTTTAAAAATTAAGTTGAAAAAGTTAAATTTTATAAAAAAAGTTGCTATTTGAAATCCCTCCCCCATGAGTAGAATAAGTGTTAGATTTTCAAAATATGATATCAAATGAAAAGGACATATCTAAGGTTTTAGTAAAAAAAATTATGGTGACTTGTTGATTTTTAAAAAAGTCATGGAAGTTTTAAAAAAAAAATGACAAAATTTACCGATTTTTAAATTTGTAATTTTTTTGGAGATTTCCCCCATTTGCGGGGAATGAGGGAAAATTTTTAAGGGTAATGTCTTCAACTAGATACAATTTGTGATCTTTTGAATCTTTTGTTGAAAGAAATCGGTCCAGTGAGAGTTGAGAAAAAGTAGTGACAGACACAAAAAAAGACCACATCATAGTAAAACCAATACCTTCTCAGCTTCGTATCGAAGCTAAAAAATGTTATATGTACAATTGCATACATGTTAAATTAAAAATTATTAATACTCTTTAAAACAACAATACTTAAATTTTCGAAAAAAAATTCGTTTTTTTTGCAATAAGTTATGGACATTTTTAGGAAAAAAAAATTTTAAATGTGCTATGTCGCACGGAGACGAACATATTTCTGATGTTTTCAGCTAGAATTGCTAAGTTCATGAACAGGAAGGCCGCATTGTCTTTAGATTTTACACCGAAAAGACCATTCGCCAACCCTTCTATGTTGCCAGGTTGCACTCAATCATGTTGATTAGCACCCATTCGAGGATTTTACCTTGTAATACAACATTCCCAGAGATCATTACGATGCAAAGTTTATAGTGAAATATATTTGAACCGGTTTATCGGAATAGTTACCGCTGCTTGGTGGTATCTTTTTGTTTAATAAATCGGTTGTTTACTAGACACCCATGTGTTGCGTCATTCGTGTCACCTCATCGTACATGTAATATAGCTTATATAGGTTGCCTCATTTATAAAATATCTAAATATTAAGAGGGGCTATATGATGTTATGACTTCATTGTGCATATATCCGATGTCTGTACAGCGATTAAACATTTTTTAAATATTGTATTTTCAAAAGTTGGATTTCAGATATTTCAAAAATCTAAATTCATGCATAGTAATGATACTTAAAAATACTTAAAAAAAATGGATTCAATTATCTTTTAACAAGTACAATAAACCAAAATGCGCACTGAAAAATTTATTTTATAAACTGCATGTTTGTGGTGGTTTGGATATAAAACCAGCCAATACATTTAAACATTCTTAACGTACGGAATATATTAATTTCAGGAAATAATCCTAATGTTACTTCCAATCAAACTCGATTTTATTGAAATTAAAAATATGTCATTTCCCCTTACATTCTGTTAGGGGCTTGTTTAATAGTTGAGGATTTTGGTTAAAACCAAGAATCGGAAGCTACCGACGACTGCCCAAATATCGTCCCTATCTCCTTAAATGAGTTTTAATTACCCGAAGGAGACACAGGCAATCGTGTACCTTAGTTACAGGGGATAAAATTAAAATTAAATTAGACTATTGCTTTATGTCAACGACAAAGTAAATTTATATTTTAGATGTTCAGTAAATATAAGTTATATGTAATATACAATACGTCTGACCTGAATCCTAGTACAGTTGGTTAGTAGATATATCCAAGTGAGACGGAGTTGGTTGGCTATGATGCCAATTGGCGATAGACGGGTCGTTGAATAAAACAAGTCAAGTTATAAATAAGACGAATGTAAGATTGAAAATTATGTCTATAACGGCCACTCAAACAAAACTGCCCTTTGTTAGTTCGACGTCAATAGTTCCGGGCTACAGACGAGTAGAATGGTCACATTAACATCTACCTCTATGCTAATTAATATGTATTACGAATTAAGTAAATGGAAATAAAACTTATATAATATAAGTGGTAAGAACATAGTAATACATGTTCTTACAATTCTAAGTGCAATTTTTTATTTGATATAAGGTAATCTATATAAAGAAACAAAAAATAAAGTAAAATCATATTTATAATTTATATATTACTATGTCAACGAACATTTTAATAATAATATAGCATAGTAGTTGGGCACGTAGCACTTTTTAATAAAATCATTATTTAAGATAATCAATAAACATGCTATTTATTATATTCATTAAAACTAAATAAACCATTTCACATTTTCCAAAAAAATCTTTTTTAAAAGAAAATTTTTTGGCTAGTATTCTAAAAAAATTATTCAACTGATTCAAAAGATAAAATAGTTTTAGTATTTCAAAAAAATTATCAAAGTATGTATTTTATTAATAGTAAACTAAATATATTTTATTTTTAAAGGAGAATAAAATCTAAATTTAATTTATCAAGAAAGAATAAAATTTTATGAAATCAAACAAATCTCAATTCATCAGCAATTAATTGCTTTTTAAATTTATCCTTGCGCCTAATAAGGATGTCAACTTTATATTTTTATCATTAATATTTAACTACATATAAATTTATGTACATTATAAAATAAATAAATGTGATAAATCTAGGGAAAAAATGTTTGGTACAATAATTGTGCCAGTATTTTGAATGTCATTAATACTTTTTTTCTGGGCGAGAAGAATGACAAGGTCGAGAAATGTCTTATGATAACTATATTTTTAAATGTTAATAACCTCTGAAATAATTTTCAAAAAATGCTATTGCTTAATAATTTATTTAATTATATTATTTATTTTATTTTTTTAATTAGTTAAATATGTATATTGTCATTTAAAAAATAAAGTTAAAATTCTGTAAGTTATAGTAGATGAATTAAGAAACAATAAATAATTTCCAATAGAAAATATATAAAACTAAAAAGTACTAAAAATAATTTTTGTAATGTAATTATTATTTTAAGAAAAATCGAGTGACTAATGTTACAAAAATCACTCTGTACACTAAATTTGAAAAAATTAAAGTTTTGCAAATAAGTAACATATTATACAATATTCAGTATTATAATATCACTTTACATGTTGTATGGCAAATAATTGATCATATAAATCGGTTTGACAGTTTGATTTTTAAGGGTATCATTTGTATCAGGTTCATCTTTTAACATCTCTAAATTATATTCTTTTTTAAAAAATCCTATATCAATATTATTACAATCATTCCTACTTGCAATGTATATTTCAAAATGTGTTTCAGTACTACAAATAAGATCTGAAATAAAAAAAATAATGGTTTAAAAAATGCTCAAATTTATATAAAAGCATAAAATTATATAATAATAATAATAAATATAAGCGTAATTATAGTTAAATAAATTATAATTTATCAAAATTGTTTTTTTATGAATAATGTTAATTAGAATGAATATCAGTGTATTTTTTCATATTTAAAAAAAAAAACCTAGCACAGTGGGGACGTTGCATAGATGGGTCCAGTATAGATTTAACCTGACAGTGATTAAAATCACTATCATAAGATGCAAATATGTAGATAGTGTTTAATTCTAAAAAAATGATGGATAATTACAAGCAACATCAACTTCTATTTCCTTAATTATACCCGGATTAGTAATTCTTTTAATTATATATTATATAATTTTTATATTGAATTGTTTTCAAATTATTATTGATATTGATTTTTAATATGTTAAAAGTAATAATTTTTAACCTTCTTTATTTCGTCCTTTAAAGTGAATGTATATAATAAAAAAATAAATAAATTTATTACCATAACTTTTAGCTCAACTGACAAGTTTGAAATTGACATTATTAAATAGAAAAAAATGAAATTGTTAAGATTAATATGCAATCAGGAAATTTTTTAATTACTATTTACAGTACATTTATCAGTAAAGTTCGATTTTTTTTTAGATTTTTATCGTAATAGATCACTTAAATAAAAACCATAGTAATCATTTCTAATTAACTTTTGGTGTTTAAAAAGATTCTAAAATGGAAATATTCAGAACTTAATTAATTTTAATGATTTACTTTAACTAAATGAATTAAACAAAACAAAGTTGTTAAAATTATTTATTCAATTGAGCGTATTATAAAATATGATTATAATTGTAAAAATCCATCGTTAAATTCAGGTGAAACTAAAAATCATTTTTTTTTTTAATTTATGATTTATATAGCAACATGTTACAAAAAAATATGGAATATTATAGACTGGTAGTAGCACACATAAATAGATTTAAAGAATTACTAAATATACAAAGTAAAATTATTTACTTTTGTAGTTGAATACTTTTATCATATCAAATCTAATTCGACAATAAATACTTTAAGAATATTAGATATTAATGATTTTAATATTGTGTATGGAAAAAGCTAGTTAAGCTACTTTTTATTTGAATAAGGAATATTTTTTCGATTTTTAAGAGTAATAAATTAAACTAAAAAAATAGGTCTAGTGAGGAATGGCAAAATAAATCGTAGCTACAAAAAGAACCACATTGTAAAATAATATTAACATAAATAAGAAATTTCTTCTCACGAGGGGAGACGATAGCGATAAGATCCTTTATATTTATTGAAGTTATTGAATCTAAATGAGATAAATATCAAATGATTTGAAAATTTTATTCTAAATCAAAAAAAATGCAAAGTATTAAAAGCCACAGACGGATTTGAACCTCGTACCCTAAGCGTGAATGACGCAGATGTTACCTATTCGGCAACTGTTCGTTGCTTTAGTCGCATGATAAAAAAAGTTTAATTTCGTATGTCTTATGAACTTTATTCTATATAATGTAGACAAGGCATAGATGGGACAAGTATAGATGATATTTGACAGTAATTAAAATCACTATCATAAGAAACGCTTTGATGCAAATCTGTAGATAGTGTTTCATTTGAGAAATTGGTGGATTATTCCAAAAGCAACATCAACTCTTATTTCTTTAATTATATCCTGATTAGTAGTTCTTTGATTTTAAAATATAATTAATGAATAAATACTAATTATAATTTTTAAATTTAGTATAAAATTGATATTCAATAATTTAATATTGTAATTTAAACGGAGAAAATATAAAAATAATAAAGAAGTTGTATTTTGCTTTATTTTTACGTGTATAAAAATTTAAAGGGCTTGATACAATAATTTTCAATAAAAACTGTTTGTTACTATAAATAAATGCACTGAACTACAAGGAACTTTCATCAGTAACAAAAATGTACCATTCTAAATCAACTTTTCGCGATGTTTTCAAATTTGCAATTAGACTTTTTCTATCACTTCTGAGTTTTAATATTATTAAAAATTAGTATATATATATATAAAAAATTCACATAGAAGCTAAAAAATTGGCTATTTAAGCTAACTCAAATTCAAAAACTACTTTTTCGACTTTAAGAAAAAAGTTTAATTTCTTATGTCTTATGAACTTTATTCTATGTCAATTAAATTATATAATATTCATGAAAGTCAGTGTATTCCCCTAATAAGATATTTTAAAATAAAATACAAAACCCAAAATTTTAATAAAAAAAAAACCCCCAGCACAATGGGGTCGCAGTATTTCCGGAACATTTTCAAAAATTAAGTTGAAAAAGTTAGTTTTTATAAAAAAGTTGCTATTTTAAATCCCCCTTGTGAGCAGAATAAGTGTTAGATTTCCAAAAAAAATGATATCAAACGAAAGGAAATTACCTAAGGTTTTAATATAAAAATATATTATTTTGATTTGTTAATATTTGAAAAAGTTATGGCAGTTTTAAGTACAAAGAACATTTTTATAGAAGGTTATTTTTATCGCAAATATTACATAATTTTTTTAATTTTTACAGCAATTTGCACATAGTAGATAAAGTGTCAGGACAAATTTTTTTTTTTTTTTTTATAGTATATAAAATGAGCTTTAATTTTATATATGTTTAAAGGACGCAGTATTATCGGAACACTTTCAAAAGTTAAGTTGAAAAAGTTCTATTTTTTATACAATGTTTCAAGTTTTGAACGCCCTCTATATATGGGGAAATTGTCCAATTCTAATAAATAGTATGTCAAATAAAAGATGTACTTATAATATATTAAGAAAAAAAAAATTTGTGCTAATAATTATATTTTTCGAAAAGTTATAGCACTTTTAAGTTGAAAATTTAAAATCGAAAATTGAAAATTTTAACACAAAATTGGCGATTTTTTAACTACGGCAGCCGTTTACATGCAGAAGATAAAGTTACGGGACAAATTTTCTTTCATTTTATAGCACATAAAATAAGCTTTAATTTGATATATGTTTAAAGGACGCAGTATTTCCGGAACATTTTCAAAAGTTAAGTTGAAAAAGTTCTATTTTTTATACAATGTTTCAAGTTTTGAACGCCCTCTATATATGGGGAAATTGTCCAATTCTAATAAATAGTATGTCAAATAAAAGATGTACTTATAATATATTAAGAAAAAAAAAATTTGTGCTAATAATTATATTTTTCGAAAAGTTATAGCACTTTTAAGTTGAAAATTTAAAATCGAAAATTGAAAATTTTAACACAAAATTGGCGATTTTTTAACTACGGCAGCCGTTTACATGCAGAAGATAAAGTTACGGGACAAATTTTCTTTCATTTTATAGTACATAAAATAAGCTTTAATTTGATATATGTTTAAAGGACGCAGTATTTCCGGAACATTTTCAAAAATTAAGTTGAAAAAGTTAGTTTTTGTAAAAAAGTTGCTATTTTAAATCCCCTCCAATGAGTAGGTTCAGTGTTAGATTTTCAAAAAAAATGATATCAAACAAAAGGAAAATATCTAAGGTTTTAGTATAAAAAAAATTATGTTGATTTGTTTATTTTTCAAAAAGTTATGCAAGTTTTAAGAAAAAAAGTGAAAAAAATGACAAAATTTACTGATTTTTAAATTTGTAATTTTTTTGGATATTTCCTCATATGCGAGGAACGAGCTTAATCTCAGCTTCACATCGAAGCTAAAAACAATTAACACATATGATTGTATTCCATTAATGTAATTAATATAAAATAAATCCACTCATCATATTAATTAAGTATTTGGAGAAAAAGTCTAATAATAAATTATAAAATAAGTTTTATAGTCTATATAAACCATTAATATAAACAAAAATAGAAATTATAATATGTGCATCTTGAGAATAAATTTAAACAGTATTCTCTTCAAACAATTGTAAATTTTGTAAAGTTACGTTTAATAGAAAAATTAAAAGTTCAAAAATATTTTAAGAATTTTTCAAAATTATGAATACGTAAAAAAATATTTGATAAAACTTTACGAATAAACTAGCATAATTCAAAGTATAAAATGAATATTTTAAATAAATAAAATATTATATTTTAATTATCTTGTTATTGAATTTTTTCTTGTGCTTTATTTTACAAGATTCATAGCAATATAAAATCATTACAGATATTTTTTTGTTAAATATATAGCAGATATTGTATATAAATATTATAAAGAATTGTAACGTACACATTATTCGTCCTTCACCAACATTAGCATTTCAATACCATACTAGTGCCTGATCAGCACAAACATCCCTACGACCTACTACAGATATGCTGCACGCGCGGGTGTAAACAAAACCGATGATATTCTTCTTCATTAAATAAATATATAAAGACAGTCAGTCGACATTTTACCATTTTACGCTCGCGACTACTCATTTTTTATTACAGATTATACTTTATTTATTACAACCTAATTCCGACAATATTACATTTTACTATTAATTTAATTATTAGATTTATTTTATTACAATCGAATTGTGTACGCTCGCCGCTGTCGCTCACCTAACTTGGATACCACAACATCTCTAGAGATCCAGTCAGGTTATATTTAAATATACTATTAAATAGAAATAAATGCTTGTTATCGTTGTTAGTTAAGAGTCTATATTTATTGGTCACGAAACCGCTAACTGCCCTTCTAGTGGGATATAAATTATATAGGGCCAGCGTTGCCCCGTTAAGGTACAGCTTAGCCAACTGTTAGGATCCTAGCGGGAAAGCACGTTGCAGAATATTACACATTTACACTTACTTGAAACTTTTGAATCAATTAAATGATTATAAGTTGAAACTTTGAAATTCGGAATTTTACAAATTTTTATTATTATTTGAAGATAACTATTCCATTTTTTCAAATATTTCATATATGTATCAACATTTTGCATGATTTTTTCTAATTGATCTTGAATTTCATTGGCATTATTTTCATTAATATTTTCATTTCTTAGAACAATATCAGATGTAAAATAAAATTTGTTATTGATAAAAAAATTGGTAAGTAATTTAATTAGTTTATTACTAAATTTTATATTCACATTGGACAACTCTGTATTTCTAATATAATTGTTTAAGCTTAGAACAAATTCATGAATGATTTTTCGCAGAAATGCTGTCCGTTCCTCATTGAACAAACCGAGAGAAATGAATTCTCTTATATAATTTAATATTATTCGACCCGTTTTAATTAATGTCGATTTGAAACTTTTTGGTACACAATCTGAATTCTTTGATGATGCAACTATAATTAAGGTCAAAAAGTTGCGTATAAGAATAGCTATTGGTTGAAACGTAGCCAAAATTACCATGTTTATATATTCTAAAACATCCTTAGAATTAAAATCATATTTCATATACTCAAATAGATCTTGTATAGTTAATCGAGTACCGTCAGAACATTGGATGTCAAGTGGAGTGAATCGAAGTAAATTTAATTCTATGTGTTTACTAGTATCTACTTGTACAATTTTTTTTTTTTTCTGATAATCTGTTGGTTCATTATTTTGTAAAACAAAAAATTTTTCGGATGAAAATTTTTGTATGAATTTCTTTCTACTGATAAATAAAACTTCTTCAATATGTTATCTTTGAGATCATTATTTATATTTATTAGATTAGTTGTAGTATATTCATGGCTACTGATTGGAGGATTGCAACTAACCATATAATCAATAAATGGTATATTTTCACAATTATTAATAATGAAATTTTTTAATTGATTTTTAACTGCGACATGAATAATCTTATAGCCTTCTAATAATTTTGTAGCATCATTTTTTTCACCATCTTCGGTTAGTGAGATCATATTTAAAGAGCCAGAAAGGTTATTTAAGTACATATTTATCGTGATCAATGTAAAAGGAAACTTATGTTCCTCGTTGTTTATCAAATCATCTAAAAATATCATAATTACTTTACTATGTGTTTGTAGTGCCTTGCCATAGTTAATAAGATTTTGAATTGTGATATAATCTTTATTTTTTTCGAATTCTAACAAAAATCTTTCATTATGGTTAAAAAAGTCTAGAAAATAACGACTATAAGAGCACTGTAAAAAGTAAGGATAACTTAAACTTACTTTTATGGACATTATTAACACAAAAAGTAAAAGAAAATTCATTTTTGTTTAGACGATTCCTTATAAATTTCAAATTAAAAAAAATTGCGACACTAATTGTAAAAAAAATATTGAGTATAATTTATATGAATATTAATATATCATATTTGATCAATTTTTTTTTGGAAAATTTAATTTTTAGTTCAGTAATCGTACGTTTGTTCTCATACACTTATTGACTTAATTTTTAACTGACGTAATTGTTATATTTATACAGCAAAAGAAAAATAATAATGATATCATATTTAAAATTGTTTCTGTATTGAAATATTATAGATTATTAATTACGAATTACTGTATGTGTCTACTGAATAATTATTTTAACCTATTAGCGGCCAAAGAAAAATTTGAATTTTTTAATGACGCCGTCTTAGTGAAAAATTCATAGGACGTTTTCTTGGTATCAAATTTTTTTTGTAATAAATAACAAATAATTTAATTATTTTATTAATTGATGTAATTAAAAAAAAAACACAACACAGGGGGGTCGCGGCACAGTGGTGACGTGGCATAGTTGGATCAAGTATAATGATATCTGACAGTGATTAAAATCACTATAAAAAAAAAACGCTTCGATGCAAATCTTTAGATAGTGTTTAATTTTAAAAAATTGGTGGATTATTCCAAAAGCTTCATAAACTGCTAGTTCCTTATTAATATCCTGATTAAGATAAAGTATGTCGAATGAAAAAGGGATTATTAAAAAATAGTATTTCCCATAAAAAAATTATATTGATCAATACACTTTTCAATAAGTTATAGCATTATAAAGTTAAAAATGTAAAAAATAAAATCGAGAATTTTCACACAATAATAGCATTCGGTAGCCATTTTCACCGTGAAGATAAAATAAAGTCCGAAATTTTTTTTTTCCATGATAAAGTATATTACATTAGCTTTAATTTAAGATATATATAAAAGTGTCAGACTTTCCGGAACACTTTCAAAATTTAAGTTGAAAAAGTTCTACTTTCTACATTCATTTTTTAGATTTGAACCCCCCTCGTATATAGGGAAATGGTCGGATTTAAAAAAACAGTATGTCAAATGAAAGATGTATATAAATACTACTCCTCATGAAAAAATTGTACTGATCCATACATTTTTCAAAAAGTTATAGCATAATAAAGTTAAAAATGTAAAATACAAAATCGAAAATTTTCACACAAAAAAAGCATTCGGTAGCCATTTTCACCGTGAAGATAAAATAAAGTCCGAAATTTTTTTTTTGCATAATAAAGAATATTACATTAGCTTTAATTTAAGATATATATAAAAGTGTCAGACCTTCCGGAACATTTTCAAATGTTAAGTTGAAAAAGTTAATTTTTTTTGAAAAAGTTGTCATTTTAAATCTCTCCTTGTGGGCATGTGAAGGGTTAAATTTATGAAAAAAATATACCAAACGAAAGGTTATGATATTACACATCTATATAAAAAAAATTATATTGATATGTTCATTTTTGAAATAGTTATGGCACTTTTAAGTAAAAAAAATTGTAAAAATTTCGAAAATTAGCGATTTTTAAATTTGTAATTTTTTTGGAGGTTTCCCCCATTTACGGGGAACGAGGGCATTTTTTTCAATTTTTGAGGGTAATGTCTTCGACTAGATACAATTTGTGATCTTTTGACGTATCATTGAAAGAAATCGATTCGGTGAGAGCTGAGAAAAAGTGGCAACAGACACAAAAAAAAAAAATAAATAAATAAAAAAAAAAACATCTTAGTAAAACCAATACCTTCTCAGCTTCGCATCGAAGCTAAAAAAATTAATACAAAAATATATACTAATGACAGGTAAATATCTAATGTAATTATAAAAGAAAAAATTGTATTGATCCATTCATTTTTCAAAAAGTTATAGCAGTTTTATGTAAAAAAAAAAAAGGTAGCACAGTGGAGTCGAGGCATAGATCGGAGAAGTATAGATGTGCGACGCGAAATACTCGGACGACCAATCGCCGAATGAAATCACGTCTCTAAAGGTTCCTTAAAATAAAATTAAAAGAATAACGTTTTTAATGGACTGTAATTTATTTACCGAAATTAAATATGTACTCTCTAATACAGTAACAAAATTGGTTTATCTTAAATCTATTGTTAGTACTTATATTTAAAACTAATATACTAAAATACAACAACATAAATTTTTAGTAATTAATATTTTGACAAACAGAAAATGTATAGTCTGACCTTGCTTTCTGTACCCAAAAGAAGATAGTGAATGTGTCAAGTAAAGCAGTTGAGCCCGACGCAATCAACAGAGTGAATTGAACACATAAAACCGTCAAAGAAAACAAATCCAACAAAATAACGCACTAGAGTCCGTGATACACAAAACCACTCTATGCATGCCGATACGCGAATGACACCTTCGCGACCACCGCCACACACTACCCCAACAAGTAAACCAGTTGTGACAGGTCGCGCTCTTGTTGAAGAGAATAAAAAACCGGCGCTCACCCACCAAACTGTTTCGTCACGACCGAACAATAGATGATATCTGACAGTGATTAAAATCACTATCATAAGAAACGCTTCGATGCAAATCTATAGATAATGTTTCATTTAAAGAAATTGGTGGATTATTCCAAAAGCAACATCAACTCTTATTTTTTTAATCATATCCTGATTAGTAATTCTTTGATTTTAAAATATAATATATCAATAACTACTAATTATAGTTTTTTAATTTAGTATGAAATTGTGAGGCCAGCTATGATGTATGGTTAATAGTGTTGGGCGGTTGATAAGAAAGTAGAGCAGAGAAT